GCTGTGTTGAAACCTGTGCCTGATGTGCAACTCTACTGGCATCTGAAACACCAGTGGCAGAGTCTCAAGCCTCATAGCAATGTACAAGCCCCACAACATGACAAACTGACAGACAAGTGTGTCTCCCTTAGCTATTGGAAACTTCTGCACCCTCCCCTTACCTAATTCCTACCTGGAACCAGCCACTTTGTAGTCCCGGGCCGCTCCCTCCTTTTCCTGCCTCAAGGGGGCTTGGGGCCTAGCCTTGCCTTCCTCCCCTTTACCTGGATATCCTGCCACTCTGGAGGTCCCACGCCTCTCCTACTCCCTTCTCTTTCCTGGCTCTAGGGAGTTTGCAGCCTGGCCTTGCCTCCGGCCGTTTTACCTGGATATTCTGCCGCTCTAGAGGTCCCCGGCCTCTCCTGCTCCCTCCCTTTCCTGGATCTAGGGGGCTTGGGGCCTAGCCTTGCTAGGGGCCAAGCCCCCTAAAGCCAGGAAATGGAGGGAGCAGGAGAGGCTGGGGGCCTCCAGAGCGACAAGATATACAGGTAAAAAGTGGTGGAAGGCAAGGCCAGGCTCCAAGCAACAGCAACTAGTAAAGCTGATATTCAAATAAAAAAAATCACCACAAGGTAAATACCTAAACTGTTTGTAGAGCTCAGATATCTCAGATTTAAAAGTAATACAGATATCAATTTTGAAAGGATAAAAGTGATACAATGACAAACAATATGTATTACATTGATCTACATTAGACAATATGAAAAATGCTGGTACAGTGAACAAACAGCTAAGAATTGATGTACTCAATGGATTAAAAAGAATGCAGAGGGAAGGAGCATTGTGGGCAAAGTGAACAACTTACAAGCATATATCCAGCTAGAGATATAGCACCAGAAGACTTACAGTGTCTGTGACAAATGCCTAGTCTTGCCTCCAATCAAAAGGCAATCCATATGCTCAAGTGAACCCACATTCACTAGGAAATAGAAGGCAACTATGAAGGCAGTATGTATTTTCCACAACCATCACGTCCCTTCTCACTTTATTCTCAGCTATTTCAGTGGATTCCTACCATTAATTTTCTCCCTATACATTTAGCCCAGAGGAAGCCAGACTATGATCAGTTTTGTGATCCATTAAAAAACACTTTCTGTGAATGTAAGCAGAGGGTTGCAAGCTTCAGTGGAGCTTCTAGATGAAGAAGGACTAGAGGAAAAGGCCTAGTAATCTACTTCTGAAAAACTGGCCAATGAAAATCCTGTGGATCACAATAGTGTGATCTGCAACCAATCATGGGGATGTTGCAGGACTGGGCAGTGTTTCATTCTGTTGTTCATGGGGTTGCGAAGAGTCAGGGGCCCAATCAAAAGACTTCCCAAAAGAGTAAAAAGAGATGCTACAGTTTGGGAAGAAATATTTGGCAATGACACATACAGCATGGGACTTATCTCTAAAAACACAGAAAACTTCAAGACCTCAAAACCAAAAAGATAGACAATCCATTTCAAAAATGGGCAGAAGACATAAACAGATGCTTCACCAAAGAACATATTCAGGTAGTCAACAAATATATGAAGAAATGCTCACAATCATTAGCAATTTAACCATCAAACAAACAAACCAACCCACTGCCATTGAGTCAATTTTGACTCATAGAGACTCCTATTGTGTTTCCAAGACTGTATATCTTTATTGCTTCATTTTCCTCCCATGGAGCAGCTAGTGGATTTGAGCCACGAACCTTCTGATTAGCAGCCAAATAAATGCCTTACCCACTATACCACCAGAGCACCTTAGAGATGCAAATCAAAACAACATTGAGAGATCATCTCACCCTAGCAATAATAGCAAAGTTCTAGACAGAAAACAGCAAATGCTATTAAGGATGTGGAGAGATGGGAACTCTCATACACTGCTGGTGGGTCTGTGAAATGATACAACCAATGTGCAAACCAGTATGGCGCTTCCTTAAAAAGTTGGAAACAAAAATATCATTTGATCTAGCAATCCTACTACTGAGAACATATCCTAAAGAAATGAGATGCAGGACATGGATAGATATATGATGGCCATGTTCATCACGTCACTATTCACAATAGTAAAGAAATGGAAACAAGCTAAGTGCCCATTTACAAATGAATGGACAACCAAACTATGGTACATACACACAGCTGAATATTATACAACATTAAAGAATAATGAAGAATCCATGAATCACCTCAATACCACGAATCACTCTGGAGGACATTATGCTGAGTAAAACAAGTCAATCACAGAAGGACAAATATTGTATGAGTCTATTGTTATAAAAAGGGAGCTCTGGTAGCATAGTGGCTAAGACATTTGCCTGCTAACCAGACGGCTGGCGGTTCAAACCCACCAGCCACTCCTCGGAAGGAAGGTTGGGCAATCCTACTTCCGTAGTGATACTGCCTCGGAAGCCCAAGGAGGGGTCGCTATGAGTCGGGTTTGACTCGACGGCACATAACAACAACAACAACATTGTTATAAAAAGTCAAGGAAAGGTTTAGCCAGGGAAGGAAATTTTCTTAGTTGGTTACCAGGGATGGGAGAGGGGGTTAGTGAAAACTGCTGACTAGCTAAGACACATGTGTTTATTTGGATGAAGGGAAAAGCAATATAACAAAAGTGTGTGACCAACACAATAACGCTAAGGAAAAAGAGGACAGAAAGAGGTGCACAAGAGGTACGGACAATAAAGGTAAATACTATTACATAGACAATACTGCATTATCAGTAATAACAAACACTAGTCTATGGGTGGATACATAGAAGATCAGGTACGGGTAGGCAAAAGGGAATATACCCATGGCTATACATAGGTTTGGCAGAAGATATTCCTACATACACATTGTTGTTGTTGTTGTAATGTGCTGTCGAGTCAGACCCAACTCATAGCGACCCCTTCTTGGGTTTCCGAGGCAGTATCACTATGGAAGTAGATTGCCCAACCTTCCTTTCGAGAAGTGGCTGGTGGGCTTGAACCGCCAGCCTTCTGGTTAGCAGTCAAGTGCCTTAGGCACTATGCTACCAGAGTTCCCACATACACATTAGTATGTACTATATAAAAAGAAATGTCCATATACATTATAAAGCTAAGGAAGACAAAGTTAGGATAACTTCTTAGCCACAACCAAGCATCTTAAGGGAGTGAGTCACTGGGCCTGTGGGCTCAGAACCATGTCTACGGGAGACATCAAGCTCAACTGGCACAGCATAGTACATGAAAACATTGTTCTACATCTCACTTTGGTGAGTAATGACTGGGGTCTTAAAAGCTTGTGAGCAGCCATCTAAGATGTAACTACTGGTCTCTCCTCATCTGGAGCAAAGAAGAGTGAAGAAAATCAAAGACATACAGAAACACTTAATCCAAGGGACTAATGGACCATGGGAATCTTAGCCTAGACAAACTAGATGATGCCTGGCTACCAATGCCAACCACTCATAAAGGGATCAAAATTGGAGTTCCTGGATAGAGTGGGAGAAAAAAATTAGAACAAAATTCAAAAACATTAAAAAGACCAGGTCATGTGGAGACTGGTAAAACACCCAAACTATGGCCCCAAGTCACCCTTTGGGCCTGGAATTGGACCCTCAGCCAAACAACAGACAGGCTTACGAGTGGAACAAGTACACCAGGAAGATACACTTCTTACAACAGTCAATCATGGGAGATCAGAAGGGCAGCATTTGCACAGGGAAAAGGCTAGGCAGGCAGGAGTGCATAGGTAAGGACACAGTGAAGGGGTAACAACAGAGAGGAGTTGGGAGGAAAACTGTAACATTGTGGGGACTTGTAATCAGTATTGCAAGACAAAATGTTCATGAACTATCGAATGTAAACCAAACGTAGTATTGTAAAATTGCACCCAAATCACAATAAGAAGTTCAAAACAAAAAAGAGTCAGGGACCAACTTGACAGCAGCTAAGATCAACAACCACCCACCTAGTAAAAACTAGAAATTCTGTATTTCAGCATTGACTTAGTTAGGTACATGACTCTGCCTAGCAGCCTTCTATGGGTATCATTATTCTGGAACTTTTGACAGTTACTCCATCTGGCGATTAGCCTCAAACCTAGTAAAGCAGAGATCATGTATTCTCCACTTCAAAGAACTGTTTCTTTAATAATTACTTTTACCAACCAAAAAGTTATAGGTATACACAGTGTAGATCTTCTCTTGAGACATATTTACTGAAATACTTTTTGATCAAATCAATTTCAATATAAAGATTTCAAAATTATTCATGATTCAATATTTATATTACAAATAATCTTGACTATATGATACCTAATCATTTTTATTATAGTTTTAAATTGTCAAATGATAACATACTTCCATGTTCTGGTTCATTAACCAAACAAAAACATTAAAGCAATTCCCAAAAAATAATTTAAACACTGGCTAGCTAAATTATAAATGAGACACCGACTTTTTAAACAGTGTCCTTGCTTTAAAATTTGGGAATTTTTAAAACAAAACTGACATAAATATATGAGCACTATTTGAGCTCTGTTAGCTTAGTGCCTAAGGCATTTGACTGCTAACCAGAAGGCTGGCGGTTCAAACCAACCAGCTACTCCTCAGAAGAAAGGTTGGGCAAGCTACTTCCACTGTGATACTGCCTTGGAAACCCAAAGAGGGGTTGCTATGAGTTGGATCTGACTTGATGGCAGTGTATTGCATTGTTGTGTTACAGTGAAAAATCAATTCTAAAAGAAATTTCATGGTCTGAAAATAATCTAGTTTAACTGATTTTTTTTTCTGATTTGCAATTAAGTCATGATAAGCAGTATTACATGAGTATTTTAACAATAGTCAAAAACAAAAGCTAAACAATCATTTGTCAGTACAACTGTATATGCAATTTTATATACACTATAATCTTCCCTGACTTGTTGAAAACTATATATAGTGGTATATTTTTGGTAAATATATACGTAAGAGTAGCACATAATTTACTCTGATTGCCTATCTAATTAATATTTTACCTGGCATATTTCTCAGGAGCTTTGCATTGCACATATGTCCTTTTCTTATATCAGTAAGGATATATTCCATCCGCTTAGCCCTCCAAAGGAAATTAAATACCCTTAGGTAGTGGCTCATACATTCTCGAGTAAACACCTAAAAAGAACAGCAGAAGATAAGCTTACTAGTATTACATGCCGTAAGTATTGTTTCAAAATATGTGTCCTTTTTTTTTCTCTGTTAAATAATAAAGCTAGAGAACACACAACTAAATCTAAAAAATTCTAAGTAATATGCAAGCATCTAATATGCTACATTCTAGGAAAGTATTATTATAAAACAACCACCACATTTACTGAATATTTATGTGACAAGGAATATGCTAAGCAAACCCATAGTATTATAAGGTAAATATGCATTTTAGTTGGATCCCAACCAATAAACATGGAAAGAGCAGACAAGAAAGCAGACAACGTATTGTATTGAACAAATCTGCTGCAAAAGACCTTTAAAGTTTTCAAAAGCAAAAATGCCACTTTGAGGACTAAGGTGTACCTGACACAAGCTATGGTATTTTCAATCACCTCATATGCATGTACAAGCTGGATAATCAATAAGGAAGACCAAAGAAGAACTGATGCCTTTTAACTATGGTACTGGCAAAGAATACTGAATATAACATGGACTACTAGAAGAATGAACAAATATGTCTTGGACAAAGTACAGCCAGAATGCTCCTTAGACGCAAGGATGATGAGATTTTGTCTCATATACTTCGGACATTTTATCAGGAGGGACCAATCCCTGGAGGAGGATATCATGCTTGGTAAAGTAGAAGTTCAATGAAAAATATAGAGACCCTCAACAAAACAGATTGACAAGTGGTTCCATCACTGGACTCACACACAGCAATGACTGTCAGGATTGTGCAGGGCTGGGCAGTGTTCTATTATGTTGCAGACAGGGTCACTATGAGTCAGAACTGACTCAACAGTACCTAACAACATTTTTATACCAATTTTACAAATAGGGAGACAAATGCATAAGGTTACACAGCTATTAAGTGGTAAATTTTAGACCTAGTATAAAATGTGGACTAAACTATTAACTCTGAATGTGCAGTAATATTTTTCTAGCTTAAATCGATCAAAGGATATGAGGTAGGACCATACTTTCTTCTGAAACAATAGGTGATTATGGTAATGAATCTCATGGAAGGTAGAATCTCCAGCCTGAAAAAAGTTCTCCAGGTTATTCTAATATATTTATTTATTACTTTTGAATACTTCTTTTCAGTGTAAAAGCAAAGCAATTTCACAACCAGGGAATGAATGATGAGGCAGTCAGGTAGAGATTGTGCTAAGCCAACCTTCCCACAAAAGCTTGCCAGATTTGGCAAATAAAAATACAAAATGCTCAGTTATATTTGAATTTCGGATAGATCACAATTTTTTTTTTTAGTATAAGCATGTCCCATGCATACAGATAACAGAGTTTCTACAAACTGTAGCCAAAGATGTTTTTAACTAGTATAAACATGTATGCGTAATAGACTTCGGTGTATTTTTATTGTTTACTAGATGATTTGGACAGAAAATTCATTTATATTAGAATGAACTGAAAATAGACTATTTGTAAATTCTTCTCCCATATCTTCCAAACAGATGTGAGCTCTCAACAACAGGACTAGGCTGGCACCGAGGAGGTTTGCTCTATTAATATCCCTTGAACCCAACATAGTTCATTCAAATCATTGGGTCTTTATCCACATTAACGCTTGTAAAGACCCATTCTGTCATTTTTACCTATCAAAAATGGTCTTGGTCCTCCAGTGCTGCTATAACAGAAATACCACAAAAGATGGCTTTAACAAACAGGGTTTTATTTTCTTATAGTTCAGGAGGCTAGAAGTCCAAGTAACAAGTCCAGCATCTAGGGGCTGGGTGAAGGCCCCTCACTCCACCTTGGACTTCAGCTCTGCCTCCTATTCCAGGCCCACTAGAACTGGAGGGTTTTTCTAACTTACGCAGCTACTGGCTGCTGAGATTGATGAAGCCAAGACTGACAAGTAAAAGAGCTCAGTTCCAAGAGAAGACAATATGGCAGGCTACTAGTTCAAGTCTAGGGACAATCCCAAGATCAGAAGGCAACATGGTAGGCCAGAGACAAAGATTAGGCCAAATGGAGGATCCAGATACGCCAAAAGCTAGAGACCTTCTCAAAGTTGCCTTATATACACCAGAAAGGGCACACTTCAAAGACAACTACTTAGCTGCTCACAGCAGATTCTACCATGGAGGCAATTACAATCTCATCATGGGGAACATCTACATCCAGCTGCCCAGGTACTCAAAACCATGACCCAGTAAAATTGGACATACAACTTTAACTACCAGAGAAACCTATCCATTTTTCAAGGACAAAGGCCACCAATTTCCTTCTTCTTAGGACACTTAGGATATTTATTAGTTGATCCTTATAATTTTAGTATTTAATATATACCGCTTCTTATTTCCTATATTCTTGTCATTTCTCACCAGATAGCAAGGATTATCTATTTTTCAATATGCCATTTTTGTACCAGGTATTTGGTTGGTGTTCAATACTGATTGATCATTAAATGTCTGAACAGGAGTAATTGAAGTACTGCTTTGAAGGTCTGCAAAATCAAATATAAGTGCTTTGGGGATTATCTAGTTTGCTGCACTGTCTACAATACTAATATTCTTACAATTATAGAAATATAGAGTGACTAGTTTGAAAAATTTTATGGCTAAATTAAAGGATTCTTAGCTATACAAATAATATGTGTTAAGGCCCCTTGAAGTACCAAGGTCTGACAGCACTTTTAAAGTAACTTGATTTATAAAAAATTTAATTTAATCACAACTCTGTAGAAATATTAACTCTTTAACAGGTAACTTTCATATTCTACTACATTTCTATAGAGAACATCAATCTCATCTATGTAGTTTTACTATTTATAAGGTCTTTGCTCTGAATTGTTTGATGTGGCCCTTCTAGTCATTGTCCTCCATTTTGTGATGCATTTTAAATCCTATTATCCACGCTTGTTTAGGGTGGTGTGGTAGTTAAGGTTGTGTGTCAACTTGGCTGGGGAGCTGGTAGTAGCCATTCCCTATAATTACTGGGGATCAACTCCGTGGTGGAATTTGCCATGAGCAACTGAGTAGCTAGCTGCTTTTAAACTCCTGTTAAAGTCATCCACTTGGAGTATTTCTGCTGGAGCACAGAAATAACCAAAATAGGTGGGATATTATCTTGAGTCCCACCTTGCTAGAGGGGGTAACTCAAATCACCACCCTTAGCTTCCTTGAGGGTATATATAGGAATCTTCTGGGAAGGTTTGCTCTCTCTCTTGCTCCCACTCTGCGTTTTGGCTCATCGTCATCTCACTCTGAATCTGAGACAGCAGCCATCATCTGATCCGCTGATTTAGGTTCATTAAACCCCAACAATTGGGAGGATCCTTCAGACCTATTTACAGACCTGGAACTCGCCAGCCTGCCAACCCCCCAGCCTCCCCCACCATGTGAGACAATCCCTTGGATGTCTATGAGTTTCGTGAGATGTTACAGCGAAATATAGAACCCTAAGACAGGAGGGAAATTACTGAAAGGAAGAGTTAATGTCTGAAATGATGGAGTGGCATGGTAGTTTGGACATTTGGGACATCTTTAACCTCTACCTCATGGGGACTGGCCTTGTGCTGATCTGTCTAAGAGAAATTACTGAAGCAGTCTTTCAGTTCATCTCTTACTGTAAAATAAAGGTGAGATAAATACTAAACAGCTAAGTTTCTGAAACTGGTTCTTGGAGATCAATGATAGAAATAAATGGATTCTATCCTGTCAGGGAGCTCTGGTGGCACAGTGCCCAAGGCATTGGACTACTAACCAAAAGGCTGGTGGTTCAAACCCACCACAGAAGAAAGACTGGCAATCTACTTCTGTAAAGATTTATTGCCTTAGAAATCCACAAGGGGTCGCTATGAGTTGGAATCGACTTGATGGCAGTGAGTTTTGTTTGGTTTTTAATTCTGTCAGTTGTCAAAATAAGATTAAAGAAATCTCCATATTCTCCCTAGCTAGTATCAGGCTATTCTACCAAACATTACAACTTTGTGACCTTAAAACAAATCATAATTGCATAAACCAAAACCAAACTGACTATTATCTAATCAATCCTGACTCGTATCAACCCTACGCTGTTTTCATTAGGTGCCGTCGTATAGGCTCTGACTCATAGTGATCCCACGTAAGATTGCCTGCTGTGCCATCCTCACAATCATTGCTATGCTTGAGCCACTGCTGTAGCCACTGTGTCAATCAATCTCACAAGGGTCTTCCCCTTTATTGCTGACCCTCTACAAATTAAATAAAATAGAAAGCAAATAAAGTAAATAGGGAAAATTAAATTTAACCAAAGAAAAGCAGCAAATTCATTTTCTTCCAAACCTTAATTCTGAAATTATTTTTTAATAGTTCTCTTTTCATCTTCCCAGTAGCTTTTATATACAACTGTATATTTTAATTTTTCTCTGCTAATTAAAATTATTTTAATGTCTTAGTTTGAAGACTTTCAATTGTGTAATATGATTATCAGTGTAGCAATTTATCAGTATACATCAACTCTAGAACATAATCTAACCGTAGAACTGGAATGGCAAATGCCAGACATGTAAAAATAATTTCCTATATTAGGTCCCTGGCAAATACTACTAATCAATTATAGGACTCTTTTTTCCCCTCCCTCTCAATTCAGTATTCCAGTTGTCACTAGTAAGTCCACTGGAATAGGCATATAAATTGACCTATTTTTGCCCTTTCTATCCTACAAGTTTGTTTTTAATAATGAAGCTATGAAACTAACTTTCTTTGGCTCTTCCTAGTAATGTAGAGGGCTTTTTTTTTTTTTTTTAAAAAAAAAAAAAACCTAAAATTCAAAAAGCTAATATTGTGCAAACAATTGTTTATAAAAAGGTATGGAATGAATACTTTTGATATGCCTAATAAGATATGCAATATTATGACATAATTAAATCACAAATAGAGACCATGGTCAGTTTATTTTAATTATTTCTCCAAGTACACTTAAGACATATTTGGCAAGACACTTTGTATTTTATGAAAAAAATCAATGCAATTAACTTTATTATGCTTTTATCATAGGAAAATAATATGAACACTAAAAAGGCTGTTAAAGACGGGCAGTTCAAACCCACTAGCCACTCCTCAGAAGGAAGGCTAGTCAATCTACTTCTGTAGAGATATCACCTCAGAAACCCAAGGAGGGGTTGCTATGAGTTGAATCCACTTGACAGCAATGAATTTTTTTTTTTTTTTTTTTTTAATTAAAATACCATACTTCTTTGTGCATTAAAACTGCTTAGGCTATAAGTGAAAGGAAAAAAGACAAATCTAAATAGGCAAAAAATTAAATTTAAGAGCAATTAAATGTTTAAAATATAGTAACTATAACCTGGTAAAGTTTAAATACTGGGGATTTATATGTAAAAAAAACTGCACCAAAATCTAACATTTCACAGTAGACACAATAAATATATTTGTGGTAAATCTGTTAATCTATATGTAAAAACAAGGTAAGCATAGCTTTTATAAAATTCTTTTTACAGGAGATACAATTATAATTTTGAGAGGCAGAGGAAAACAGCCAGTCTTGAAGTCAAACTGCAAGATTGAGTAGGAAGAGATTTGGAAGCCAAACTATAATACTTTAACAAAATATTTATAATGATTAAAAGAAATACAATTTCCTTTTTCAATATTTCAGTTATAAAAACGATTAAAGTTCATTCAAAAAGATATCACTGCCAATGAGAATTTATTCAAATGTGAATAAAGAAAAACGAACACTAAGAAGGAGCACTTTAATTGCAGATATGTAAAGAGACAACTCTGCTGGTCCATCTTTTATGATTTGGAACCATTAAAAGAAACAGTACATTTATTTATGTATGGTAAAAGCACTATGAACAATAGTACAGCCATTTTCTCATCAGTTAAAAGGAATACTAAATACCAAATTTTATTTAAAAAGTAAAAATATAATTCCCCTAAAATACATCTTATACTTCCTTTCAAATTATCCTAAATTAGTTGCTACAGTATAAGAATAATGTAACAAAATGAATAATCCATTTATTAAGTACTTGCTGAATCCTATGATAGAACAAATGATATTTTTAAGAATTCTTAAAATAATAGAGCATTTTAGCATTCTTTAATAATTTAAAACACACATGAACAATTCTGTCTTAAGTATTCATTCAATAGGTATATCCTAGATTGTCAAGTGATCACTTTAATTCGAAGTTCTTTAAGAAAGCCAATTTTAAAACAGTAAAATGTTTAGCAATCTAAATAGCTGTGAATATCATAAAAATAAGAAGAATAATCTTACAGTTGCAATTGGTCCATCGACATGATAGTCAAGGCTGAAGACATCCCAGCCAGTATCACCTGGAGAGACCTAATACCAAAAAAAAGGTTACAATTGCAGGACTTTTCACTAGTGCTACTAAGCTTACTGCTGAAGCACTTGTCTACTCCTCAAAGAAAATGAAGCAAAATAATGCCCAATATTTAAAGCTGCTTAACAGTTTTAAGTGTTTAGCTGTATGAGAACAGAGAAGTGCATATCCTCAGCATTTAGACAATGACTAGAGCATAGAAAGTACTCTAAAATATTTCTCAATGAATATTTTAAATAAGTGTTTAAAATTATCATTATTTATGACCAAAAAAAAAAAAAACCTCACTATAGTATAGTAGCTATAACCTGGTAAAATTTAAATACTGGGGATTTATATGTAAAAAAAAAAAACTGCACCAAAAGCTAACATTTAATCATTATTTTTATAACCAAAAAAAAAAAAACACCTCACTATAGTATAGTAGCTATAACCTGGTTCTTCAGATTATATTGACATATATTGACATTCTTCAAATCCTTGTAAGTCAATATTTGAGGAAAACAGGTTCTGCTAATAATCCTTCATTATAACTAATAATAATGTTGACACACCCATGTCTCTAAGAAATGTTACCTTCTCTAAACTTAAACTAAAAACATCGTTTTTTTTATAAATATTATCATCATCTTGGGTTTCTTTTCAAACTTACTTTTAATAGTAACTACGACTTACTAAGCATTTACTATGTGCTATCAAGCACTGTGAAATATATTTTCTGTTCTTTATCCAGTTTAAATCTAAAAATGCTAAAGTCTTTTTGAAAAAAAAAAAAGGGGGAGGAAACTGAGTCTTAGTGAGGTACAAAAACTAAGTGACTTGCCTAAGTTCACATAACAAGCTTCAGAGGTGGGATTCAAACTCAGGTTGTCTAGTCTTCCAGTAATGACTCTTAACCACTAGACTAGAATAGTTATATCTTAAATAACTTGGAAAACATTAATTATAATACTTTATAGTCTTGGAGTTCATTGTCTTAATTTCTTCTTCCCCGCAGAAAAATATCATTTCAAAGAGAGAAAGTTAAAATACCTCCAGGAGCCTAACATCCAGTCTTTTGAGAATTTCAGGACTGTCAAACTGTGCATTGGTTGCTCTGACAGCAGTTTCAAGAATTCCAGTCAAGTTATGTTGATACAAAGTAGTAGCTGGACGGACAAGTTCTGGTCTAACAAATTTTTTAAAAATTACAGAAAATGTTACTTGAATTGTTAATGAACTTTAAAAATTGAAAAAATTATAAAAAGTAAGAGTTCAAATGATAAAAACCAAGAAAACAAATGGAACCAAAATGACAATGTGGTAGTGTTTCATAAAATTAACTGTCCATAGGGTTTTACCAAGTATTATGTAAAATATTTCTTTAAAGTCTTGAAAAAATTAATTTTAATTCAGCTTAAATTAACACTTCTATGTACCATACATTTTAACAAAGTTTCCAACTTAAGACTGTCTTATGAATAACAAGCATTTTTTTTTAATTTCCTTTATGAGATCCAAAGGGAGAGAAAGAAGTCTTCATTAAATCAAAGAAATCAATTAGATATGTAGAAGTCATGATATTACAAAGTATATGAGTATATAATCATAAAGGTTCTGGCATGTATATTTCTAAAAATGCAGATACCACTGCTCTGATCAAGAGGTAATCAAGTTAGAATTATAGGCATTAATTCTCAAGCATACATATCAACTTTACCAATTCACCAGACTTTAGAAACCAATCTGTCTAGGACAGAAAATGGGCAGAGAAAAGGTAAAGAAGGACATTTCTCAAAGAAATCTGAGGTAAGGTGGAGAAATATTTTTGGCACTCCCCTTTTAAACACTTGACACTTAAAACACGTTTGAGAAAAAATTTTCATTTAATTGCAAACATGAATATTCTAAATATTCAAATTCAATGAGGTAAATCTGTTAAGTCATTTAAATGATGTGATACATAATGTGTTACACTGATCACTAAACTTTACTGTAAGAAACGACCTGCTGATCTCTATATGCATCATCTTCTACACCTACACTGTCTCCCATAGTAATTTATTGAGTCTACACATCCATATCCTTACAGGTACTCACATTTTAGCCCTATAAAACTTAGAGAACATTTCATCCTTTACAACTCATCACCACTTATACTTCAAACAAGTATTGATTTCATGACAGTAATTAACTTTGTAGTAAATTCCTTCTTTACTTAAAGTGTAGAAGAAATGCTACTTCAATAAGTGTAATTACAAAGCACTTTACATTTGCAGATAATCAACTCTTTCATGAGCTAATTAGTAAACAACTGGACAGCGTCACTCATTAACATGTAGAAAAAGGTTAGCTACTGTTACATGTGCCTCAAAACACTAAATTATTTTTCATATTCAAGACTGACTTCTGGTTAGAAAGTAGGACTACAAGTGCTATGTATCTAACACAATGGTTCTCAAAGTATAGTCCGCACATGAGCAGCAGCAGCATCTCTTGGGAACATGTTAGTAATACAAACTCCTAAACTCTATCCTAGAGCTCCTGAATTACCAACTCTGGACATATGGCCTAGGAGCTCCGGTGGCATAGTGTCTAAGGCATTTAAATGCTAACCAGAAGGCTGATGGTTCAAACCCACCAGCCACTCCTCAGAAGGAAGGCTGGGCAATCTATTTCCATATGGTATCGCCTTGGAAACCCAAGGAGGGGTCACTATGAGTTGGATCTGACTCAATGGCAGTTGGTTGGTTTGGGTTGGACATATGGCCTAACCATTTTAACAAGCCCTACAGGGGTGGTTCCGATGCCCACTAAAGTTAGAGAACCAAAGGCCTAAAACAATTGCTTGATTAACGCAGGTATAATTTAAAGGTAACTTACTATTTCAAATGCCCTAAATGGAGCACATAAAATCAATAATAAGCTCCATCCCCATAAATGCCTAAATGAAAATCACCATCACATGTCATGGCTCACAACTCTGTATGTTCACTCGCCAATGTTGCCCAGGTGCTCCTGGATTGCATCTTTAGGTCTGGAATGTTTGTAGACTCATGAGCATACTTTGCTCTGACCCAGACCTATCTGCATCTCTATGGGTGACGGGGAAGAACATATACTTAATTCCGGAATGGGAGATGCCATGAACAATGTCAAGGGGGAAAAAGGAAAGGCTAGTTAAAAAAAATGTTTTTAACATGAAACAATGTACACTAAAACTATGAAAGTAAAAGTTGTTTTCAAATACATTTTTATTTCTGATTAATTTCAAACTAAAGCTTAAGTTTCATCACATCATAAACTTCTTACACATTAAAGTTTGTAAGTGCCACAGAGTTAACAAGGTGCACGTATATTTATTATTAATAAAGCATAGCACACAAGACATTTATGCTCTGTTGGTAGCCACAGCAAAAATAAAAGGGAGTTTAACTTTTGAAAATTTTTCTTTTCTAATTTTATTTAGAAAATATGCTCTATAAAAATTCAACTCATTTTCAACTAAAGCCATTTATTCTTAAAATATTCAAAAATTTTAAGTTATCTTTTTCATGTTAAATATACCATATCTTTATAAGCTTCAAAATAGATATAGTTTTCTTACTTTAGCAAATCCATTAAGTGTCTTATAAAATCTCCTTGACCAAGAAGTAAGTACCGCCTCATTGCCTGCATGTGGTCCAGCAAGCTATATTTTTTATTGAGAACATCCAATAGATATTTGCTAGTCTCGAAATAAGCTGCATCAATTTTTCCCTGAAAAGCATTTTCTAAATCTGTGAATAAATCTGCAGCTGTAAAGAACCAAAAAGAAAAGAATACTTATGTACATTATTTGTATTTTAACAAAGAAAAACCAAAAAAGCCTATATGTACAAGTCAAAACCAGCACCTATAAAATGGCATCAATGAAAGACTAAATACAAGCTGCATATGGGAAACAGATTTAGAATACGAAGCAGAATCACAAGACAGTGAAACTGAAAACACAAATATTTAGTGGAATTTACAGCAGACATTTACATTTTGAAGCACAAAATAAGTAACACAGCATTATACATTATTTCAAGGATATGTAGGTCAAATACCTTCTACAATGTAACTAACTTGAAATCTCACTACAACATTTGGGTAAAAGTACAAAGAACAGACAGGGCAAGTCAATATTGAGTCAACTACACATACCTAAAAGATAGTTTCATAAATTAGTCCAAAGAATAAACCAAAATAACATGTGAATGAGCATTCTGAATTCTAAAACTCTGTGTGAAAATGAAATATTCTTACCATACAGCCATTATCATAGTGGCATACCATAAACTCTAGGGAAAGCATTAAAGACTTTTTAGGAGACATTTAATAAAACCTGATTGTCATAAAAAATTAAGTGTTTTCTATAGTTTTATAATAAAAAGAAATAATGCAGAGAGATTTCATTTAAAAAACACAGTAATAACTGAACTAGAAAATAATCCCAGTGTTGAGGAACAATCTAAGATAAAGAGAAGGTAAAATACTTGCTCAAAGTTAAGCAAGTGTAAGAAAAAGAGGCAAAGCCTTTAAAATCCATGTGTAACTCTTTTTCTACTACCCAAAAAATTTGGAAATATCAGAAGATTTTAGGATTGTTTTTGGCTTGTATGTTCTTTAAAATAATAGTTCCATTAATGAAAAATTATTTTCGTATTACTGCTATTCCAATTACATATTAGTATGGAGGTTCAAATTCACTCAGAAGCACCTCAGGGCAAAGGCCTGGTGACCTACTTGCAAAAGATCACAGCTGCTTAATACCCTATGGAGCACAGTTCAACTCTGACACACGTGGGGTCACCAGAAGTCAGAATCGACTCAACGACAACTGGTTTGCTTTACTAATTTGTGGGGAAACTACAGTGTTTAAAGTGAAGAAAATGTTCACTGTTTCCAATGGAAGAATGAAGCCCAACTGATGCTAACACCATGAGACTACTTGATGTTATGTACCTATTTTAATATTTTGAAGTGGCAGCTATATTTCCTTTGATATATGCAGTTTTAAAAATGTAAATCCTTTCCATCAGAAATTATTTGAATCATTAAGCATTTTCATTCCAAAGAAAAGGTCTACAATATTAACAAATTTTAGTCAAAAATAGCCTATTAAAGTAAAAAAAAAAAAAAATCAGAGCTTTCTCGTGAACTATTTGTTTTAAAGTTTTAGGGATACCTGAAATTTCAGTTCTTAAAAATGTACTATTTTTTATTCACATTTTTAAAATCTTCAAAACTTTTTCACAGATAAGAAATACAAATTTAACTTTGCCCATGGATTTCGGTATATTAGTTTTTTAGGGGTATAAATCTTTTATCTTCCCAACTATACTGCAAGCTTCATAGCAAAAACTTTGTCTGCAGCAGACACTGGCCACAGTGGAGATGATGATAGAGATAGCAATAGCTGCTGTAATGGGAAAAAAAAAGTAGTAGTAGTAATAACTGAAGCTATTTCTACACCATCAGTTTCTACTTAAGCAGGTTAAGCTTCCCAAATGTCTATACGGGGATATCTCAGAGTTCCACACCACCATGATAAAGTAAATATTATAATAAAACAAGTCACAACTTTTTTGGTTTTATAGTGCATATAAAAGTTAAGTTTACATTATAACTTACTGCCACCAAGTCGATTTCAACTCATCGTGACCTCCACTGTGTTTCCGAGTCAGTAAATCCTTATAAAATAGAGGGCCCCATCTTCCTTCCATGTAGTGGCTGATGGGTTTGAATCATCTACCTTCTGGTTAGCAGTCAAATGCCTTAGACACTGTGCCACCAGAGCTCCTTATGTTTACACTATACTGCATACTCTATTAAGTGTGTGACTGTATTACAAAAAAGTCTGAAATACTGTGAGAATTCCAAAATGTGACACAAAGATACAAAGTGTATATATGCTGTTGGAAAAATGGCACCAATACACTTGCTTGATGTAGAGTTGCAACAACCTTCAATTTGTAAAAAAAAAAAATCCATTATCTATGAGCTGCAATAAAATGAGGCATGCTTATATTCAGCCCTAACTTTTATCTAGAGTTTAAGTACAGAATTTCCAGGTAACCTATGTTATCACATCCTATTAGGTATTTAAAGTCAAATTGCTCTAAAGTGAAAAATTTTCGCTCCTAACCTCATCTTATTTCTAAATTCTCTGTCCTCCTTAGTATCATAAGCTAAAAGTTTTAGCATCACCTTTGATACTTCTCTCTCCTGTTCCTCTTGTCCAAAAAGCTATGAATTCCTGTTAAATAACACCTTTCACACTTGCCTAATAGTCTCTATTCCACCGATATCCATTACTAAAGCAACATCTAATAACATACCAATTTATCCACCAAGTTCTAGTCTCTGCCTCTCTATTATTGTATTTTTATGCAAATAATATGCATTATATGGTTTTTTGAAAACTGCAACTCTTTCACGCTTTAGTTTCCAACGTGTTATGCACATTAAATGCTTAGGTACATTATATGCAGGAAAATACAACATATTGTTTTAAAAAGAAGAAAATAATTTAGTGAAGTAGTTCTGATAATGTCACACTTCTGCTCAGAAACTCGTTTTTCTGTATTTTTACTATAATCTTTAAAAGAGTCATTCCTGTTATTTCTTATTCATTTTGTTCATGCTGTTTGCTCTTCCTGGACTACACATCAACCTATCTCAAATTCTACTCATTCTTTAAATATCAGCTGAATTACAGGCAGTCTCCACTTTATGAATGTCTGATTTATGGACAACTAGTAGCTCTGGTAGCATAGTGGCTAAGACACTTGCCTGCTAACCAGGCAGCTGGCGGTTCAAACCCACCAGCCACTCCTCGGAAGGAAGGTTGGGCAATCCTACTTCCGTAGTGATACTGCCTCGGAAACCCAAGGAGGGGTCGCTATGAGTCGGGTTTGACTCGACGGCACATAACAACAACAACAACAGTACTACTTGTTGGAGGAGCTCTGGTAGCATAGTGCCTAAGGCACTTGACTGCTCACCAGAAGGCTGGCGGTTCAAACCCACCAGCCACTCCTCGGAAGGAAGGTTGGGCAATCCTACTTCTGTAGTGATACTGCCTCGGAAACCCAAGGAGGGGTCGCTATGAGTTGGGGGTGACTCGACAGCACACAACAACAAGTACTTGCCATTTAATGTTACAGACATTTGTCCCCACTCTGAAACAAGTGAACCAACCCCGACTCACAACAAATTCTTCATCACAATCACCTTCACTTGCTGCATGTGCAGCTTATAAACCACTGAAAAGACTTCTAGCCTTTTCCTACACTAGAGTGAGGCTAAATAGGAAATTTATGCATCTGTTCTGACTTACCTTATAGACACACTTAGGAACAGGTATCACTGATAACCCAGGGATTGCCTGTATTACATCCTCCATAAAGCTTTCCTGATTGCCATGCCTGAAAATACCTGAAGCACTTTATCAATACACCTCAATTTATTTACCACTTTCTACCTGTTACTATTTATTATTGTATTCTATTGTATCTTATCTCTTATTATCCTACGATTAACTCATTGAAGGCACAGTCCATAGTGAGTCAATTTGTATTATCTCCCCAAATACCTACCACAATGTCCTATGCAAAGTAAGCTTGTTGAGTAAGTGAAGATGACAATATAAATAGTAAATATAATTAGGTTTGGAAAGCTATCAAAATAAGCCATATATAATATATGAAATTATTGAAGTTGCAGCAGAAAGCAAATGGGAAAACAGAAAGGAACAAAAGAAGAAGAATGAGAGAAAACCCCAGCATTCTAAGGCAACGATTTAACACAGCATTCTAAACAGAATAAACATTTACTAAATCTTTTCTGATTTCTTAATGACTTCTTAAATCCCAAAGCATGGCTACCATTAGCAAAACTTTTTCCTTTATTTTCGGATTTTGGTATAATTAACTATACAAAAGTAATATAAATTACTACAAAGGAAAAATAGCTACAACTATTCCAATATTTACTGTTTTATTCTATATAAACAATGAATTAAAACATTTTCACAGTAATATATATTTCATGTATTTTACACCCCATTCTAAGGTGTTTCAGATAATTCAGATAATCTGTTAGCCCAGTGGAACAAAAAATAATTTAAGAAACATATTATTATCATACCATCCTTGGGTGACTCTGCAGACTTTGTCACAGCTATCATCTTTGCAGTTGGTGTTTGATCATGACAAACCTGGTGCAAAAAATTTATTGATTTTCCTATCAAAAGGACCTAAAATAAGGAAATATTCTATGGTTATATTTACATAAAATTAAAATGACAACTCCTATAATGATTCAAAAGCTACACATTGGCTATGAATTAAAACTTCAATGACAATGCATTTGATAATGAATTCTAAGAACTCAAAAAAGGCATATTAATATGCAACCATATTTAATTAATATATGTCACTGCAAGAAGTAAAAAATATTAAAATGCCACAAAATTTTGTTTATCAAGTTTAATCACAAATACCATGTGTATACAGTATTAAGACATCAAAATCACAACACACACACAAAAAAAAACTCTCCAACTTCACCTTTCTACATTGATCCATTGTAACAAACGAAGGAATCATTGATTTCCTTAAAGTATACTTGTCGTGCCACAGTCTATCTGTTTTAACTGTTGGATCTGATGCTACAAAAAACTGAAATAAAAAGAGCATTGAAACATTAAAAAGTGGTATTTATGGCAAAATTATTAGCAAACCTGTAGTATCAAAAAGTAAATTATTCTAGAAAGCCAAGTTCTCTAGATACAGAGAGAATCACCCAGTTATACAATACTTGCTTTAAAAAGTTATTTTGGGTAAAAATTTCTCTAAACTGAACTACATACTTTCCAGACTTCCAAAATCAAAGTACAGTAAAAAGTTAAAAAGTATAGTAAGAACTAAAGCTTCTTCTTGAAGATTCATAATCCTCCTTATGAATATCAATTATAGGCCTCAACTGTATAACATCAGTGATCTAAGCCTGAGAATCTAAGGGTTTACTAAAAAGGGAATCTATTCTAACTGCAAAAGCTTTTTGAAATTTTTTTCTTTTTTTCTCCCTTCCACTGAGATGTGTCTCTTAACAGTGTAGCTGCCCTTTGCATTCACTTTTGCAGAACTCTGAAATCTGAACCACAGAAGATACGAAAGAATCTAATGTACTTTATTCACATAAATGCCCCCTGTACAGATACTATCATCTACAAGAAAATCTTGACTTAAAAATGACCCATGCATATGAATCACCACCACCAGAAAACCAAATCAGTGGCACCTGAGGCAATTCTAATTTTTTATTCTTCAAGCTGACTCCTGAGTACTTTGAGCTTGATTACAGTAACCTGCCTTGCATTCTTGTATGGAAAATGTTCCAGGTTCATTTTGTGTATTTCCTCCCCAGATCTAGAATCAGCTGTTTCTATAATGAGCTCTAGTTAGTTTTGGATAGAAATGGTATTCCAAGACCACAACCTTAGCACATCATTCTCTCTTTAAATTAGAAGCTGGATCATTTGAGGCTTTGCACCACCTATAGTATACATTAGTGTGGGTCTCCAATCAGACTGCAAAATCCATTTAAGACATTTCTTTGGTGATCCTTCCATAAATTCCAAATCACCAATAAATAAACTATATACAATTCTTATTAAGAAATAGATGTCCAGAGATTCAGAATGAATTTAAATAAATTTTATAATATTTTTAGCACTAGTATAGCAACAGAAAATAAATGATTTCCTAGAAAAACATAAATGACCAAAATTGACCCTAGAAGAGAGACAGAAGACCCTAAAAAGAGCAGCATCTTTAGAAAATTTCAGAAATGTAAAATGCTACCAGTAAAGCACAGGGCCTACTAAACCTGCAAGTGGAAAACAGTACTTTTATATAATGTAAACTACAATAGACAGAAAAATATCAAGAGTGCCCCAGTGTATTTTATGATTCTAGTATGACTGCATTGGGTAAATCACCTGCAGAAGATGTCTTTAAAGTGTTAAAAGCAGAGATGTCACTTTGACATGTCACTTTGAGGACTAAGATGTAACAGACCCAAGCCACAGTGAGATGATTACCTTATATGCACGCAAAAGCTGGATAATGAAAAAGGAAGACTGAAGAAGAATTGATGCCTTTGAATTATGGTATTGGCAAAGAATAATGACTATACCATGGACAGCCAAAACAACGAACAAATTTGCCTTGGAAAAAGTACAGCCAGAATGCTTCTTAAACAAAAGGATGGCAAGGCTTCATCTCACATACCATGGACACGATATTGAGATGGCCACTAAAGAGCTTTGAGCTGACGGTGAAAAACTGTTTTAAGCAGTAAAAGATTTGAAATACTACTCCTTTGTAAACAGGTTAATAATTATTTTTTAGTTTAGTACCAGGATCTACTTGGCACCTGCCCCCAAGTTAATGCAAGAAGGCCAACCTGACCAGGACTGGACAGATCCAGCCTGACTAATACACACATGCACAAAGAAAACAATTTTACACTTTTGCTGACCCTGGAACATTAAGACTCATGTCAAGGAACTAAAAAAAAATCACCAGAACAACGTCATCTGTGCTAGTCGGACCCATTTCAGAAGTGAGGGGCCTGTCAGCCACTACCGTGCCAAGCTACAATCCTGCCTTCTAACCCATAATCATGACCCCTCCCCAAATCTTATATATAATTCTAACTTCCCCATTTGCTACATCCTTAAAAGTGAGAGTAATATGAAGCCCCAGTGAACTCCCTTGGCAGTCATGTTGGCCTTCTGAATACAGCCTCTTTCCTTGTCTCAACCTGAGTCCCTGATTCTGTGAGCTGTGCCAAAAAGAACCTGGACACAGATTCGTGGTTTCATTTCCAGGAGGGAATAGTCCCTCGTGAAGAACATCATGCTTGGTAAAGAAGAGGGTCAGCAAAAAAAGAAGACCCACTTCAATAAAATAGATTGACCCAGTGGCTATAATGATGAGCCCAAACACAGCAACAACTGGGAGGATGGTAAAGGACTGGACAGTGTTTCATTGTGGTATGTATGAGGTCACACTATCAATCAGAACTGACTTGACAGCACCTGGCAACAACAAGAGTATGACACTAGCAAAATCTGACAAAAATAATACTAAATCTGAAAACTTTAGGCAAGTTTCATTTGCAGATGAAGAAATTTTGAATAAAATAAGATCTAGGCATCAAGGGAATAAAACATTCTTAATAAGGGTGTATTACCCTTACAATACACTATTAAATGTCAAAAAGCAAGGAAATATAAATGTGTACATATAAACAAATTATCATGTAGTCATTAAAAATGGTGCTGGTTCTTAATTATCATAAGCCTTTCTGAGAATGTGATGAAAAGTGCATATCTTTATTCCTAGAAAAAAATCATGCACATGTCTACAAAATAAACATTTTTACACACTATTTCAGGAGTTTCACAGATCCCATGTTAAGAATTCTTGAGGTAGAAGACCAATATCTAATGGCATGTTAATACTCATTATTTACTTCAAGTTACGTAACAAAACACTATGCATGATGAAACCAGAAGAAATAGATGGTGCCTGGCTACAACTACCAGCCTTTCCGACCGAGGTTACAATAGATAGATGTGGACAGAATAGGAGAAAAACACAGAACAAAACTCAAATTCTTAAATAGGCCAGACTTATTGCACAAGTATAGTACCTAAAGCAATTGACTGCTAAGCAGATGGCTGGCAGTTCAAACCCACCAGCCACTCCTCAGAAGGAAGGCTGGGCAATCTACTACCATAGTGATACCGCCTCGGAAACCCAAGGAGGAGTCGCTATGAGTCGGGGCCGACTCCACGGCACATAACAACAGCAACACAACAATAGATCATATAGACCAGAAGAAACCTGAGGCTGTTTCCCTTGCACACTCTTTAAGCTGGAACTTAAGCCATTCCTAGAGATCACCTTTCAGTTAAATAGTAGATAATTGTGCTCTTTAAAAAAAATTTTTTTTAATTAACAATATGAGGAGTTCTGGTAAGATGGTGGAATGAATAGTCAGAAAGACTGCACAGACCCCCATCAACAAATAAAAGGGGAACCAATTAACACAGATACAGAAGATAATCCTGGAACCCTGAGCCTTGAAGGAAAGGATATAGAAGTGGACTAAACTCCAACTTGCAGAAAAATTTGCATGAAAACACCAAAAAAGGAGACGTATGGAGCTGCAGTCTGGCAGTGATCCTGATGGCACAGACAGCTTGGATACTGCCAAGGGGTGATTGTTGTTGTTGTTGTTGTTATTTGCCGTCGAGTCGGCCCCGACTCATAGCGACCCCTTCTTGGGTTTCCGAGGCAGTATCACTACGGAAGTAGGATTGCCCAACCTTCCTTCCGAGGAGTGGCTGGTGGGTTTGAACCGCCAGCCTTCTGGTTAGCAGTCAAGTGCCTTAGGCACTCCAGAGCTCCCTAAGAATAAACCTAAAAATTGGCCCTGCTAGCCAGGGACTGCATGGAGGACTGCTCTGGTGGCTGGCGAATAAAAGGAGAAGCAGCAAAGAGGAAGGCAGACTGAGCTGTGGACTTTTGCCTGTCCGGAAGGTGCAGCCATTTTGAATGTTTACAAGCTGCTTGACCATTATGGATATTTAAAGTGATAGAGTTCTCCCAGAATCCAGGGACTTAAGAACAGGCTCTACTTGCTGGGAACCCCAAGGTCATTCTGGACACTGATGATTCGAAAGGTGAGATATTCCCCTTGTTCCTTTTATACCCCATACCCTCTTGGTGAATGGAGGTATGGCCATCCCTCACTCCCACCCACCTTCTGGGCCACCAAGAATTCCATCCCAGTTTGTGTGCTCAGACAGAGCCTGGGTGCCCTGCCCCAACTTCCCCAATTTTTTTTTCTCTTTTTAAGTTTGTTTGTTTTTGTCTGTTTTAAAACTACTACTATTATTACTACTTTTGTCCTTTTTACTATTATTCTTTAATCTTCCCCTCCCAAGTTCTAGATTTCACCTTTTTTTGTTTTCCCTGTTCCTAGTTGCATTTTTTTTTTTCTTCTTTCTCGTGGTAACACACACTCCTATTTTATTTTTGTGCTTTTTCCATTTTTTTCTTCATTATTCTACTTCTCTACCTTTTTGCCTTACTGCCCTCTCCCTAGACATTGCAGGGCTTTCCCCCACCCCTTTTCTTCTTCTTTTTCCCATTTTTCTTTTTTTGGTTTCTGTTCCTGTGTGATAAGATGGTGTACATTTTCTCCATTTGCTTACATTTTTTTGATGCTTATTCAATTGTCATTTTCATCTAACTCAGTGCAAGACAGCAGAAGTCCCCATAAGACACAACAACACCCATACATTCTGCAGCTTCACTAACTCAGTGAGAGACACTACTTCCTTCTCCAGCAACAGGCTAACGATAAACAACCACCAAGAAGAGCCTTACTTACCTGTGGCTGCTCTTCACAAACAGTAAATGGAGATCTAAATACAACACCAGGATGTCTCAGAGACAACAGATAATCACAGTACACACAAAGAAGCAAGAAAAAGTGGTAGAAAAAAGGGAGCAGGATACAAACCCAGAACACATCCCTGGGGAAGAAGCAGCATTGGAACTCTGTGATAAGGAATTCAAAAGAATTATATTTAGCTATC